TTTTTTGCGAATTACGCAACATTGCATCACTCTACGTCGCTCGGTACTCCATCATCGAGTTTCTGTTGAATACTGAATTGAACACTAGAAACAGAGTGAAATTACGCAGAAAATGTTTCAGTTTCAGAGGTGACGGAAACAGGAGTAAAAGAAAGGGAAAGGGATATCGTGTGTTTCAAGGAACAAACAAGCCGTATAGTTGATTGCGGGCGGGCTAAAGAAAAATGGCTAATATATAACGTCCGCCGATTGCGTAAAATCGAAACCGGCAACCTGCCAAGATTCTCGCGAAGCGGCGAACGCGATCGAGTCACGAGACGCGCCCGGTGTTTTACGCGATGATGCTTGCTACTCAGCTGGCAACGAGAGAAAAAACAATAGAAATTAAGAGAAAGACAGCAGAGGAAATGATCAATTTTCATCGTGGTTTCTCGTATGTCAAAAGGCGATGAAAGAAAACTCGAGATCTTTCGGGATTTACTTTGTTCGAGCCGTTATAATATTTGTCGTTAACCTGACCAGGAAGTTTATCAGCGTCTACACAAAGCGACATTATTAAAAAGTCGTATCTGATTATTGATTACATTATAAATATGCCTGACAAAATATCTTTGGCGGCCTCTCTTCGAAACTAGTAGGCTTTTTATAATGATTTCTCAATCAACGAAGCATCCCCGTTCCAATCTGAATAGTGAACTTTCCTTCGATAGGTCATCAGTTAGATCCCCCTTAGTGTTAGCTACTCATTATTCGATTAATCGTTCGCATCTAGCTGCAGAGGAGCATTTGCTGAACGTATCGTCGACAAGTTCGTCGTTCGTATTCGAGTTACGTTGGAACGTTTTTGTACAAGCAGGCCGTTTTTCGTTACATAATGCGCATGATCACATTGTCGCAGTGATTTGTAGGCTATGATTATCCTGATGAGAATCGGCGAAAAGAAAAAATTTTTTAAAATTCATTTCGTGGAATTCTACCCGATATACACATCTGTCGTATATACCTGCATATCTATGTAAATTTGTTTTAAAATATCGCACGGAAATACCACGGCGATATCTCTTCTTCTTTTCTTATTTTTGCTTTTTTATGACCAATTTTACTCGCCTGCAGCTCATCGTCTTATAATGCAATCGACAGTTACGTGTTTGCTATCTTCTACATACGTACATCCCCGTTTGAAGGTCTTGGAACAAGTATTATACTTGTTTCAAAACAGAATATATAGAGTATTATTTAAAAATCTATGAAGTGTTAATATATTATACATATACGTGATTGAAGAATTTTGTCTACGATAAATACTAGGAATATTAAAAATAAAGTATGAGAGCAGTCGAAATATTTGCGAAAAAGTTCGCGCATCGCTTTAAGCGCGAGCAGTTACGATGCACGTCGATTTATGCATATTTTCTATTCTATTTTACACACCCCGCGAGACTAACCATACGATAATAATACTACACCACTCGAACGGATAATTATATAACGGAAAATTGAGATCAGAGTTTCGTCAAAGCTACGCAACCGCGGCCCGCTAGAAATGAAATTCGCCATTTCACGTTATTGCTATTTATTTATGCACCTAGATATTCCCCTGTATAAATCGTGCTATTCGTGATTTCTTGCCAGATTCGTGATTGCTTCACAGTTTGTATGAAATTGGAATATCAGTTTCATCGTTCTCAAAGCTTCCAACAGGTTCCTCAGCGCGAAAGAATCGCCATTTCACGGATGATCACACTAGCATTGGCGATCCAACGACCGACGCCAAGCTTCTCAATGCAAATTCCATTTACAATTACAATGTCGCGCATCAAATTTCTCGAACCCCCGGCGGATCGTAGAAAACGTATTGTTTTTACGCGCGTTTGCATCATCCTCGAGCTTACATAAAAGTATTTGTCGGCGTTAATCTGTGGCCTTGAAACAGCAATACAAATCGGGCTTCCTGAGACTAAATCCTCCTTTTGGCTTCTTCTTTAGAGAGATACATACGTGTATCAAAATGGCACTTGCAATCGACGTTGGTTTTCTCTTGGTCGTTACAATCTCGACCGATTAATTACATTTATATTGCATTCACGCCCATTGAAAAAGAAACGGTGACGCATTTGTTTGTTTCTCATGAATGGAAGGAAATGCTGCTAAATACTTGTGGCAGGTCGATACGCGCGATAGAATGTCCATTAGTTAATGTAGGTCGGTTGTGACGAAGTGCGTGTTACATATTCGATGCATCAGATATTCTTTGTTATACCAATCACTGGTTATTAATATAAATTTATATTGGACGCGTCCACTCGATTGTTGGTCTCCCTGTGTCGTAGTTACCGTAAGCTCGCCGTTTTCTGGCGGCACGCCAGCTCGTTTTTATTATGACTTCGCGTCTGGGCAATTGTCTCGAAAAAAATCTGTTCTTTCTCACTTTCTTGTTTCTCTAAAAACAATTTTTCTCGTATCTCGCACATTCGTACGACGAACAATCAGGCGTAAAAATTGTTTTTTTAACGCTCTGTAAAGAAAACTTATAACTTTTTGCTCCGGTTTAAAATCTGGGCGTTAGTAATTGGTTTAAATAAACTATTTGGTATTTGTGTATTGATAAAATATAATAATAGAGCAATTTCCAAAGATTTTCAAAATACGAGCAGATACACGGTTGCATGACTTTCAAGTTGCAAGATGTTATAAGGAGTTAACTCGGGATTACCCACGTGAGGGTCTAGTCGCCGGGATGTACCTGCGCTAGACCCCCAGGTGGGTAATCCCGGGTTAAAGATAACTTCTCAAGATCCATTTCTTTTCCATTTTCTTTTCAAGATCCAATATTACTTTTGTCGACGCAGAAAATTGTACATATATAATTTCTTATAAGCAAGGATAGTATTTCATACAAATTTATAAACATTTGTGGAATAATAAAATGAAAAGAAGCTGTGGCATAACGAGAAAGTTTCTGACACAGTTTCTTCAAAATGCAGCGAGCCCTTAAAGAGCTAAAAGAAATAGTTTGTTGACAGAGATCGAGCTTTCCTTTTTTAGTGGATTAATCGAACAATCAAAGGTTCTTTCAGTGGTCGAAAATAAGTTGAAAGTCGAAAGAGGTCAGGAGGATGAATCGTGCTCCAAAAACAGTTCACTATGTTAGCTTACGAAAGGCAAAATTCCACGCGGACGAAAACGAGGACCACGTGGAAACGAAATTTTTGCTTCAAAGAGGCCGATGCGCCGGATGCTGTTGATGTAGACGCGTCAGCTCGCCACAAAGATTAAGCGAGTGCAGCAGGAAAAACCATGAAACCAGCCACAATTCAAAACGATTTAGCTAAACGCAACCTTATCTTTTTTTTTTTTTTTATTAAATCGTGACGTAAGAAATAATTTAGTAGTCAAAGAATCGTTGTTAATTCATCGATTCTCTGTGTTTCCTTTCGCACAATGTATGTATATTCGTCTCGCTTCTTCTTACAAAGCGTTATCATATGAAAAAACTTGCAACTGATAAGACACGAGCATGTTAACGGTTTCCGCCTATTATCAAAAGCATTTAATACTAAAATTGCCGGTCTCTCTCATGCGTATCAAAATATTCTACATTGCAATTTAAACGATAACAATTCAAACAAATATCTTTTTAGCAATTGTAAAAAATTCTAAAGTCGCACTGACGGATTGGGAGTATTTTTTAGAGTTAAGCGGTTCAAGATGGTGAAACGTAATTGCATATGCAAATGAAAAAAAAGGAAACATTTTATGAAATATTGATACGCTGTTGCGCGTCGTCCAAGTCCAAACGCGGTTCAACTCCTTTATTGTTACGAATCTAGTGACAATTCAATTTTTTCGAGGTCAAGCTACGCCCAAGAATTAATAACAACCAGTCACAATTAACAAATCCTCTGGTTACGACGGAATGTTCCAAGTTTGAATAGGTCGAATCAATTCGCGCGATCAGCGAAAGAATGTTGACGCATCATGAACTCGTTATGTAGATTCCATTATGTATATTCCACCGTATGCGTCGCACTTGCGAAAATTACGTAAAAACGTTTCCCTCCGTACTGAAAAGGAAAAAAAAAATTCAAACTAATACAGTTATGGAGCACGAATGATGCCTCGCTACGTTGCTGAGAACGCGTTAAATTTCACACGGTTTGTGAAAAGTCTCACGTAACGTGGAATGCCTTTCTTTCTTCCATCGAAAAGCAAAGCGTCTGGTACGACTCGTATTCTTCGTTCTTTTCAGCACAAAAACACTATCCACAGGCGTGCAACAGTTTCGTATTCAGTGTCTTTTTATCGAGACCATATGTCCGTCGACATTCGAATAATCTCTCTTCGTATTCGCTGACGATTATGGTTTAAGCAGAGCTAAGCTTCTCGATTTCAATTCTCGAATAGCTATCTACTCTACTCTTCAAAAGTACATAGTTGTTTTAACCTTAACGTATTGTGCAGAATCTTGCTGGTGATGGAACGACTAATTCCGAGCAAACCACAGCGCAAAAAGCAACCTGTGAAAACAATTTCGCTCGCGTTCGTTTGGATAATGATTGAAGATAGTAGCGTGACAAGATATAAGTTTTAAAAATTCGACCGACTCTGAACGTCGACCGTGTGTATTTAGTGGTGGTTCGTTGAAAGAAACTAATTGCAAGGGGAATCGATAGGCTTGACGTCGCGTGGAGACGAGACACAAGCTTGCGTGCAAAATGTCAAGTAATTTCGACGACGAACGATGCAGCAGAGGGGGCCGAGTGGAAAACCGAGTAGATAACGTAGCGATGGATCGTTCTGGAACGATTTAATTAAACCGCGCACTATATAGAAAAAGGAAAAGCAAACGAAAAGAGGGGGGAGGGGGAGGGGGGAGAGATATATGACACGCAGAGGCTTATCGAACTGGAAGTGTCTTCAAGGTCGGTTGGTTCTAGCAAAGGGATCCGGGTCGCGTCCTTCGATTACGAAGTCCTCGCAGCGACATTACAGGAACAGGTCGGACAAAGGCGAAGCAAGGTGGCCGGAGATATTGGAGGTTGACTCCGGCGAGGGTGAGTTTTAGAAAGTGTCTCCCCCTCCCTCCCTTTCCGTTTCTAAAGGCGACGCCAGTTGAAAGAACGGTTGCCTGTTTTCTTTTTTTTTCTTTTTCATCCTGAGCGCAACGGAAAATCACAGCTGCAGAGATTACACGTTGAAAAATCCTAGAGACTTTCTCCCCTGCTATTCCTTTGTCGATAACGGAAACTTCTTCTTCGGTGTTTCGTTCTGCCTTTGCGTTCACGTAATTTCTATTATTTCACACGTGTAGTTACAGGAACGATTATTATTGTGTCTTCTTCCTAGAAGCGGTAATCTCTGTGCGTGCTTTGACGTTGTCGAAAATAAAAAAGAGGCTCGTCGTCCGGTCGCCTTGCTAGTTACGATTCAAATCGATCCCTGGCTGCTAGAAATCCGGCTTTACGACCGTTCGAATCGTTTCATTGCGGTAAATTAGGTATGATTTGGTACGAGCATTTTTATCGCATACACCAGAGGTCGGCAACTCTTTTATTAAAAATGGCACCCCGCCATTGATTGACTTGGAGAAACGACATTTCACTTTAATTTTATTAAAGAGAAATCTTAAAATGCATTTATGTTATCGTTTATTTCAAATGTTTCAATGTTTTTAGTACAAAATTCTACTTAGAAACTTAAATATATACTCATAAAAAAGAAAACATTAATGCGATACTTATAATCTGCTGAAATTTCTAATTCCATTAATCTAAAGTTGTGTGGTGTTCGACATTTGAATCCCTCTGAAGATCTGCTGGCATCAAGTATCACATCTTTTTATGCCGAGTAGAATTTCGTTAAAATATAATACGTACGTTATTTTAAAACACAGCTAATTTCTATACTAATATTCTATACTGATAAAATCTCTTGCACTGATAATTTGATACTTGTATATCGAATGCAGCAACAAAATGCTTGTCAGACATTTACACAAATGTCTGTCTGTGTAAGTTCCACGTTGCCGACTCCTGACATTCACCGTTTGTGAGTCGCCTCTTAAATGTTAATATTTGCTGGCTCCATATATTTCAGTCGCATTTGTACAGGCTTCCTCAATCCATAACGTTTTTAATCACGTACTCATATCAGAGAGACTCGCAGAGGATCTAAGAATGCCACCGTTCCTCGCGATAGAAGGAAGACCCAGCTCGTTGATTCTCCTTGCCCTTGAATCCAGCAACTTTCGGGAATGCAATAGCCCGTTGCTAATAAATATACGCTAGACGTTCAATGCTATTACTCGCGCATAATGCACGGTGCCCACGATATCCATCGTCGTTCATCCGTGAAATCTTAAAGACGTTTCTGCGAACCATTACTCGCGGCGATCATTTTCTGCTCGCGGAACCGCAGACGATCCAGTCCAAGCTCAGCGCGTGCTGATGCCGGAAAAAGCTGAACACCAGTTACGGTTCCGATAACTGAAACGCGAAACGCCAATCTCTGTGAACGATTATTGAACTCGATGTCTCCGGACGAGACCATTCCATTAATTGGATTTCTTTTTCTTTTTTCGACCGATTCGATAACGAGGACTCACGCACATAATAATGGCCGGTTGGCCCGTCTCGACCGATATCGTGTCTTTGATAGATAGTCGGGCGCAAGAGTGTCCGAATGGGCAACGACACGCATGAAAATGTGAAACGTTCGTCTGTAGTGGATCTTGCTCGATCACGGTGCAGACTGAAATATTTCCAAAAAAGAAAGAAAGAAAACAAAATACGAGGACCAAATCAGACATCAGTTGGGCTAATTTGACTTCAGGTCAGGGTACAAGAAACGTATAAGTGTATAGGTAAAACACTGTGAGTGGTAAATGTACAATTCTCAAATGAGCATCATCCGCATGAAAGGGAGGCTGATTGTTAAAACAAACTTCGACTTTCATATTTTCCTGTCCCGATAATTGCAGCATTTTTTTCAAGCTATTAATAAGTATATTCTATTTATCGGCAAAGCGTTCTTAATTATTTGGAAACAAAGATTGTGTATCACGGTTGTAATACACGATCAGTCGAGACCTCGGGGTAGATAAGGCTGTGATTTGTTCTGGTCGATTGTAATCGCGTCTCTTATTAACGCATTCATTGTCACGCGAACTATTAAGATAGCAGAGTAGTTTTGTGCTTCGAGTTTACGTTTTTCTTCGTTCGAACGTCGAACGTAAAAGTTTGTTATTAAAGAGATGTGAATTAATCATCTAGTTAGGCTCGTAATGGCGTTACACACGGAAAGAATGCGCGAAAGTTATCGCTTATCAACGAAATGCGAACTAATAAATTTGTACGTCCAATTAATTCATGGCTTGCTATTACGTAAACAGTTGCGAACTGTGTGCGGAAAGTAGTTACGACGTAGCTATAATCAACCGGGTAGCGTGTAAAAGTTGTTGTCTCGTAGGATAAAGAAATAACAACGAGAGTTATTATGTTTCATATTAAACGACCTGAAATTGTACGTCATTTACCTTGATCTGTTTCAGGATTCAAATTTCAAGAGAACCTCCTGCGCACGATGATACAAATAGAGAACACATTCTTCCAGCTGGGTGAGAGCTGTTCGAGAAATTGTCTCATCATCTGTGATCGCGGTGCCATGGATGCCTCTGCATGTGAGCAATAAATAATCAATAACCGCTCCAAATTCTCCCTTTCGTCCTTTATGAATCAAAATTCAACCAGATTTTTCTCTTCTTTGATTTAGTTATATCGAAGGACAAGTGGGAGTTGATGATGGCCTCGAACGGATGGAACAACGTCGAACTTCGAGACAACAGATACAATCAGATCATCCACATGGTTTCGGCGGCAAACGGCGCCGAGGAGTTCTACTCGACGGAAGAACACGCGTGTCGGTCGGAAGGCGTTGAGTTGGCCAGAGAACTCGATTACAAAGCGGCCGCAGCCTGGGTTGGGCATCCTTACTTCGACGTAATAGACAATTCGCAAGACTTTGAGTCGAAAATCTGTCGCATGATCGAGTGCGTGTGTCAGAAACTGGGCATCGATATCGGGGACAGATTGAGGGCGAGTAGCAGAAAGGTCAAGTTCCTCGTCAAATGTCCACTGCCGGCGGACTCCGAGTTCCCGCCGTTCCAGGACTTTGACGTCGTCCATAACTACCTCCAAAGTAACAATCCGAAGATGCAAGCTCGTCTTCGTAAACGTGGCCAAAAAGGTTCATTTTCGGACAGTTGTTATGCGAGATTTGTAATGATTTGTATCGATGAACAATTGAGTGAAATCATATACAAATTTACATTGGCAGGTCACTGGTCTTACATTCATACGATTCGACGTCCGAAAATGTGCGGCCAGGTGATCGAAGTTAAAACGCAATTGACTCATCGAGATTACCTGAACATGCTCGCTCAACGCGACGACTCGCATTTTACCATCTTCAAGCGTCGACGTTGCTTCCTAATCAACAATCAGTATTTCCAATTAGATATATACAGAGAACCAGCTCATCCAAGGTTAGAGTTGAGAAATCACACGCATTGTACAAACGAAGTAATTTGTTAAGATGCGTAATCAAATGTATCTAATGCGATTACAGGTGCCGGGGATTGATGCTGCTTGAAACGTACACAGCATTATCAGGGGACGAGCTTAAAAACATATTACCACAGTTCCTGACAATCGAAAAAGAAGTCACTGGAAATCCAGATTACAGCATGTTCAATCTCAGTCTAAGAGAAGAGTGGAACAATACTAACAAATACTGCCATAATTTACATGGTACGTATTCATTAAATATCTCTCGCCATTAAATTATAGTATAGTATAGATGTGTGTAACCAACGAGTTACATACATCTTCTTAATATAAATGTCAATCAAGGAAATCGTTTGACACCTTCTTTTCCATATAGATGATCTATTGTTTAATCAATTTCTTTTGAATTGCACAGATTACGCTCTTGCAGGCTTGACGGAAAGTGGCTCGACAGGAACTAAAAGTACTTACACTTTGGAAGCAAAAGACGCATCAGTTAAAAAAATAGTAAACGGGATTGATTGTTATAGAGTCAATGGTGTAGGTAAAATCATAAATGGCGTACAAAATGGTGTCCACGGTGTTACGAATGGTAACGTGAAATTTGTCGAACAAAATAGTATAAAAAGCAATAGTCAAGAACGTGGTAGTCCTACGAAACACTGAACGATAATTTTTAAAACAAAAAGTACGAAAGAATATCGAACGAGTTTCGAAATGATGTGAAAACACGACGGTAAATTAGGCAATGATAAGGGACAAATTATCTAAGTAATTCTAAAAAGAAACAAAATATTTTATTGGCACTGACAATTAACTTGATCTAAAATTTCTTAGGCAATACGAAAATGATAAATTTACAAACTATGATACCTATTTTTTAATTCTTGCGTGCACACTTTGGAGGTACCTACGCGAAATGTACTTAATAATTCGACTGTAACTTATTTCTTACCGATCTGTTTAACAAGCGATGTCGAATAATATACAAGTTTAACAAGCATCTGTTTAACAAGCATTTTTACATCCAAATCACTTCATTTCACTTTTCATCTGTTTTTCTCGTTGTATATTTTACCTAGAGTACCGTAGCAATTCTTTATTTAAGAAAATTACTATAAATGATTGTGATACAAAATATTACATAACACATAGCATACAAAACACGCATTGAGCTATGTAATTATTCAAGAACAAACGATGTCTGTATGAAGTATATTTTCCTTTAGAAATGTTTAATGTTATCTTGATAGAAAATATGCTGCACTAATGTGGACAATTTTAAATTTATAAATTGTACTGTAGATGAAAAACTTTGGTCCCTACTATAGATATAAATTTTGTAAGTAATCATTAGTGACCTCTTATCAAATGCTGAGATAAATCTAATATTTTATTTATCTTTAAATGAATATATCGTCGAGTAATTATGAAAAGTATGGTTGAACGACTGTTCTACAGTATTGTCAGAATTGTGTATTATAGTCGTGACAAGATAATTGTCGACTAGTACTTAACAGGTATATCCATAAAAATTTAATCTATAAAAAGTTTGAAGTACTATAATTTATTGGAGATACTGTTGGGTTAAATAAAAATATCGATTTCTGAGTTGTAGTGTCCCTTATGTAAAGAATGTTAATTTTATTATTTAATTTACCAATAAAAATTGCTTCATCATTGAACATAACTTAATGAACGTAAACTGTGATGGTTATATATATGCATATATATATATATATGTATATATATATATATGCTTATTTTACATAAAAACTATCATATTTATCATAAATTTTACCATTATTTAGAGACAAAGTGCCTGTGAGATGTTCGGTCGCAGAAGTGAAAAGAATGATATATAAATATATATTTTCAATGAAAGATGCAATAATCAGTTATCAATGCACTTATACCATATATAATTGATCTGAATTCATATTGTATCCATGATTATCTAATAAAATGTCATGTGCCTATCATTTTTTGTTCATTTTCTGCTTCTTGTAAAAACTTTTGTGCTCTCCCTTCTTCTATTCTCTTAAATTATTAATATGTACTAAATAATTTATAATCATGTTTCGAATTAAAACTTATATTCATTTTCATATGGTATGGCTAGGAGGAAGATAAAAATTAATAACATCTTGGTCATTGTAATTTATTGCTATTTTTCGAAAAAACTCTTTTTCATAAACTTATTACTGTATAAAATAAAGAAGAAATCTTATAAACCTGTATTTGTGTTACATTCTTTGACAATATTTTCGGATTATTGTATTCACTTTAACAAATTTGTTTCTTTTGTATTTAGTATATTGCTGAAGTTTAATGAAGTAAATATATTATAACATACGAAGCAGATATATTATAATACATACTAAAAAAATTTTAATAATAAAATACTGAAGTAAATAAATTGTACGAAGAGGAAATTAAATAATATTACATTATTGAAATCAAAACTAATAAATATTTCATATTTTGCTTTTCCATGTAGAATTATAAAGTCCTCTTTTATACCTTATAATATTATGTAAAAAGTAATGCATAATGGAAGCGTAATTGTAGTTCCTTTTCTTTTTTTTGGTATACCATCGTTATAATATTTCTAAGTTAGATTCTAGATTAAATAGCTTATTGAGAAAAAGTATTGACAATATTGTACATAACTCACATAATTCTTTCTTTACATACATCACTTTTACATAGATATTTTTATATAGTCTGTACATTAAACAGTATCTAAAAATTTTTAGTAAAGCTGCAGCAATATTTTATATAATATTTAGATTATTAATAATTAGTTTTGACTATTTGTAAATATTTCAGAATTCAGATACAGCAAAACTTTCAAATAACTACCTCTTTCTATTGAAAGAGAAACAAATAGTAGTTCATAGTAGGGGTGTGCGGGTACCCGACATTTCGGGTTCGGGTCGGGTCCCGAAAGTTTGTGATACTCGGGTACCCGAAAAATCTATAATATTCGGATGCTCGAATAGTACATCACTGGTCAGAGTGATAATTTTTCAATCGGATTTTACATTTATTCTTTTAAATTTATAAATATTTTTGTATTCTATGTAAGTGAAATCAAATTTTAAAAATTCACAAGCAAAGAAAACAGTTGATAATATTATATGAAAATATTATATGAAAAGTATTTTATTTTAAATTACTGTGAAGAAAACATAATTGTTTAACTTTTTGGGGTATTAATTTTGTTCGCGTAGTTATTACGTTATAACGTTGCCAGCATCTGACAATAAGCCTTTTTTTACTTGGGTTTCTTTTTTAGTCGGTCGAAAACCGAGAGTTGCCAAGAGTACTTGACATTGTCGCAGTTATCCATGCATCTTTTTCTTTTAAGTTAATTTAGTATACATTGTACACGCGAGCTTCCTCTGAGTTTTATTTTCGCACTCTTCTCGTCGAAAACCACTGCTCGTGTTTACTGACGATGTAGAATTTTCGTGATACACCTTGTAGCTGTGTAACTTAACAAAACCAATAGTTTTCCCTATTTCGCATAAATAAAAAGAACGCTAACTTATTTTTAGAAAACATACTTTCCCGAAAAAGTAATATAATTTACACTTTACAATCAATCGAAAATCAAGTATTCATTTAATAGAATCGCAAACAAGCTGCATTAATTATGTCGTTGAGTAAATGCGGACTGAATACTCTTACTATGTCTGCTTTTTTTTATCATTGACAATGGCAGCAATATTGTAAATTCAATTGAATAAAGATTGAAGAAAGAATAAGTGTAAAATCCGATTGAAAAATCATCCGACTCGCGACGTAATATTCGGGTATATAGATTTTAGAGTTCCCGAGTCGATCTAAGCACTACCCGACTTCGATGTCGGGTACCCGAAATTTTCGAGTACCCGAGTATCACAAGCTTTCGGGACCCGACCCGACCCGAGTCACGCTCAACCCGACCCGAGCTCGGGTACCCGCACATCCCTAGTTCGTAGTGAGAAGACATGTTTCATCTTGGACAAGTAGAGAATACTAAGTATAAATAGAAATATATTTATAAAACTATTTGCATGCAAGACAATGAATTATGATCCACTTATACAGGTCCCGGAAGTATTAATTATACAATTAAACTCTATATTTTTTATATACATAACAAACATTTCTTTTTATAAATATTGAGTAATATTTAAATAATTCTGAAACTTTCAATTCAATCAGAAATAGGCATAATCTGCATGTGTCATTTTATTGGAAGCATATATTTGTTCTATTTTTTCTTTTTTGTTCATATATAAAGAAATGATTAATCTTTTATACTGTTTTCTGCTTTTTGATTACCATTTTTTATAGAGTATGTAATCAATTCCATTTACAGGAATTCATTTGAGTTCTAAAATATATAAATCATAAATCATTCCCATCTCAGAGCATCTAGTTGTACGTTAATATTTGACACAGTTACATTTACCTACTAATAGCTTTAGCTTGTTGTGCTTTGTACATTTTTAAAACTTTCTTACTAGGTATTAGAGACTGGCTTAATCCTGGCCTTTTTTTACGTCTATTCATTTGATTATTTTCTTGGTCTATTTCATCATCATCATTGATGGAAACTTGACCATTATATTGAGTCTGACAAATAACTGTTTCCTGTGGCGTTCTAATTGCCTCTAACTCAGCTGCTGTACGATGTAAATCAGAATCATGTGCAAAGGTACAATTATGGCCAAACCGGCATCTACCTTTCCTATAATTCCAACAAATCTTTCTGCCATTTATCATTTTTGTATCATCAAGAGTTGGTGTCATTTTCACATGTTTCTCAAGAATTGCACTCTTTGCTTTTTCTGCCTCAACAAATGGATTTGAGAAGACTGAAGTTTTCATTGTGGGTATGCCATTAAAGTCTGGAGTTGGTAATGGAAGTTTCTCTTTGGAAGCTATTTTACATATTTCATTATTTTCATCATTTTCTTCTTCCTCCTCATCCTCTTCTTCCTCTTCCTTTAAACTAAGGGTTAGGCAATATCAGATTACAAAGAACAAATTCAATTTGATGTGTAACTATTAACTTTGATTTAATGTGCTTACATTAACATTTAATATAGCAAATACATAATAATAAAATATAAATAGCATAAATCCATGAGAAATGAATATAAAAATGCAAGCTGTCATTATGTACTTTATTTATTAAAATTGAAGCATGACTTTAAAAATCTATGAAAACAAAAAAAGCAATGTTACAATTGTATTGTGAAATATAAAATTTAAGAACTGAATGAACTTCTTCCAATTTTTATTTCATGAATTTAGGCTAAGATATATAAGATTATTTGTTTCATGACAAATAAATATATACTCATACAAAATACAGCATGTACAGTAATACGTTTTGAGAGTTAAAATTTGTGATTATGAGGTTATATGGAGCAAGAAAATAAACAATAGGGAAACATACTCGTGACAACGAAAGCTTACGTGTTATCGGCACTGTCTGAAATATCATCGCTGCTATTCTCCGAACTCGAGGAAGTTCCATAATCCGCAACTAAGGAAGCCATCGTTCTTACCAATTAATTAACAATATACTCTAACAAACACTAATCTAATATAACCATTATAAACAGTTATGCTTCTATCTACATTCACAAAATACGGCAACATTGCAAAGCTACGTCACCGGAAGTTATTGATGACATTCTTGTATTTTTGAAATTTGCGGTAAACATAAAGTTTACTACGCAAGTCCCAAATTAATTTTATCATGTCAATCAATATTAAAATTTCAACGGTCAAATACCAAAATTAATTTATTTTATTTATAAATATTTTTATGTATTAATGTATAGATAAAATGAATTCACTGTTTTATTGTTAATACTGATTAAATTGTTAATAATTTAACAACTACTTTATGTAGTATATAAAATATATGTACATTTATTTATACTATTTACAGGAGTTTTATAAATCAAAGTAATAATAAATTTGTACTTATTCAAAAACATGTATAATATATATATATTTATGAAAACAAAATACCAGAGTCATTTATAGTTAAAGTACATGCAAGATCTGCTTCCAATTGAAAGCTATTCCAAATTGAAAGTTTTCTGTTTCCAACTCCTATTTTTTCTAATAGCAATCTTGTATTAGGAACATGCAACCAATACTTTCCTAAAGTAGGTATTACATCACAATTTTCTTTTCTGCTTGTACTAGGTCCTTCTTGAATAACCGAACTCCACTCAGTAATTAAGTTAACAGTAACAATTGATAAATAATATTCTTTTGCAATATAATGACATACATTTGCTAGATGATTCAATGTAATTGTTATTTCGTTATCTTTAGAAGATTTGAAAATTACTCCTGGTAAAGAATCAATAATTATAATTCTGGTACGACATCCTTCGTCTTCTTTCTTCAAACTATCTATTAACCAATATAAAACTTTAAACAATTGATGTATACTATATACACAGCATACTTTAATATGGTCCATAACTTCATCAATAACCTAAAATTGAAATAAAAATATTTTGTTTAACTATTTTGCCCTTGTGTAGTTTACAAAATTATAATTATAATTTTAAATTAGTATCTCATACCTGTTTACTGCAATTCTTTTTTAATAAAATTTGCTCTATTCTTGAACCACAAAAATCCCTTTTTGTATCAATATATCGCACAATATTATTAGGTGACAAAGCAATATTAGTTGCAATTGCAAAGCACAATTGTGTTTTACCACTTGAAGATATACCACATATTTCATATATTTGACCGTAATATAAACCACCTTTTAACAAATTGTCTAAACTAATCAGTTGAATTCAATATTAGTTTTTCAATTAGTACTATTGATATTTAACATACTTATATACCTTGATAAATTAGTGGGAACTATATTATTTTGTTCTATTTCCAACAATTCAAATGCATTTTTTATTACACCTCCAAATTTTTCAAAAATATTTTGCTTAATTTCAAGTATGTCCTATAAATTTAACCTTAAAATTAATGTTTTGCAAAAATTATCATTTACACGATAGACTTCAGAATTCAGAATTATTTATTCTAATCACTTTTTCGTAAATAAATTTATATGTATACCTTCAACAATAATCCTGTAAATTTTATCAAATTTTCAGAATCTTCATCTATAAATTGTATAACAGTACAAATTTGTTGACGTTCTAATTTTTCTATCATAGTACTTGATAATTTTGAATTTATGGTCGTACTTAGTTTTGTCATGTTTATGTAGAATAATCGGTAATTCGTTTCTTTATTCGTTAATTCTGTACGTCATACTTTTCATACATATTGATCTTTTAATCTTCTTATACTAATTATAATAATTTCTCAAATTAATTATTAGCTGAAATTTACAAACTTCCGGAAAATTAAAGCTGTTTACATTACGATCCTACTTTTAAATTTACATGGTACATGAAATTAATTGCAACAGAAAAACATTAGAATTTCAAAATTTACAATTATTTTAAAATAATTTAATAAAATTTTTATCTTTTGTTACATTCCTTTAGGGTAAAAATTTTAAATCATTATTGCGCATACTACGTAGATCAATGTAAATGTAATAGAGGTATCCAAAAGATGATGCGCCGAGTATTGAAATGATCTCAGTCATTCTTACGATTGTACATATTGCATGCGGGCACTTCGTTAAGTACAGTAGAATCGAGTAAATTTAGAAAAACGTGTTACACAAACTGAGGCATATTGTATTTCATTTGTTATTCGATCACTATTTACATACAATCTACCATAGGTATAATTATGGTCTCTGAGAAGATTTATCGGAGTTTTGTCGTTGCATTTGAAAATATGTGTAACATACGTAATATCACGAGAAATTGCGCATGTGTTCAATACATAGATGTACACTTTTTTGGGTTTGGTTAGAAAATATACATGTTTACTGGGACAAAAAGCTACAGACTGAAGTTCAACGAAAAAGTAAGTCCTTCATCTTCCTTTTTTTTACTTGCTCTCGTAGTGTATTACGGTATAATGGTTGTAACACGTGGTATGTTCATGCGTATATAGCACGGCAACCATGTTGCGCCTGATATGAAATTTGATCAAAATTTAGTTTATTATTTTAATAGATACATCATATTAACAATATTTTGAAAAGTTTGTTCATTCAAAATAAAAATTCTTGATAATGGGTTATATTATTAACTATAAAATGAACGTAAGATTAAACATTTTTTTACAAGTATTTTAATACGTTGTTACATTTCTTTTTATAAATAATAATTGTGGAGATCATGATAAAGAGAAATAAGGAAAAAATATAACGTTTAATTATACGAATACGACGTAAAATGGCTAAGCCACGTGATGCGTAGCTCTAAAGTAAAAGAGACAATGTTTTGGAAGATATATACATAATTTATGATCATATCAGTTTGTTTGCATTATAAATTGGAACGAAACATTTAAATAACGGCTTTCTATGCGATGCCAGGAATGTAAAGTGATGTAATACTGCATGTAACGTATGCCTATATTTGTCGATCACTGTACAATCGTGTAAAATTTTTACCGAAGTATAATAACGATTTATTGTTACAAGATCCTTTGATCTCATATTTTAAACGTCACGAAACTGTTCATTTCGCAATTAGTCTCCAAAAAATTGATTATTTTACAAATAATCTGATGGAATTACTTTACCAAATTCAGCAAAGATTTTTGTATATCTCCGATACTTATCGCAAAGTAATAAACTGTATTATTTTTTTTATCAATAATTTTCATAGACATAGCAATCTATATAATGATAAATTTTGCAGAATGTATATTTTACTTAGAGATAATAGTTGCTGATTTGATTCGTCAGTCGGAAAATGAGCCCTTTTAATATTTTTACCAGTAACCAATTGGGAACGTTTGATACTGCCACGTTGCCAAGTATCCGGTTGCGTCCGACCAATCGGAGATTCAGTGCCCAGTTGGAGCGGCATCTCTCCGTGGCTTGTGTAAACGTGAAGTAGCAAGCAGCTCGCGATCTGGTCGTGGTCGAAATTTGTCGGGAGCCGTCGCCATGTTTAGAAGTGTGTGCGTCCTTGAGCGAGTCGAGCGAAAATGTTCAGCAAAATATTAGATATAGCTCATGCACTGTACATTACGTGAAGTACCTAATTACAATTTAATGCTCGTCGATCACGGGTATAACAATTATTTTCGTGGATGGCTCACCTACGTTGCAGAATTTTGTGATTACAGTATGGTAAGTCCGCCCTGCTATCAGACTAACGCCAACATGGCGGACGAAAAATTTCCTTTGTATCGCCGCGAGGCTCCACTGACGCAATTGTGAAAAATGTATTTTTTTGGGGAGCGATATACTTGGGAAGATCGGGAAAGTTGTTTTTACTTTCAGAAAGCCTAACTAACTGATTGGCGTGACGATTATCATTACTGTTTTAAGATAAATTGACGTTTTTTTTTATTAAAAAGGCTTGAACGCCCTGAATGCTTGATATATTGGACGTTTGTGTATTCGTTGCAATCTTTTGATACTTTAAATGACATTGTTCATTTCGCTGTTCTGTTGATTGTAGATATGTTCCTACTGCTCGTGATGTATTTTTGAGGGTATTTTTTCTCCTGCGCAATACGCATGTTTTACAAATTCCAATGTGGTGTATCAGTTGGATCAACAGAGAAATTTTGATTTCGGCGCTTTTTTCACAAATCAATTAACGTTCTCATTTTGATTCATTGGAATCATCTTATTTGGAACAAGTTTAAAATATACAAATTTAATCGGGAATTAAATGATAAATTGCTTATACACCTTTTAAATAATTGAAAAATAAACTGTTATTAGTAGTCTGTGAAGCTTTAGTTTGTTGTTTTTTATACATGTTTTTCTTCAATTATGGATTTTGTATGTTTACTTTTTTACTACGAAATAGATATGTAATTGTTAAAGAAATGTTTGTTTTAAATATACACTTGCACAGTTCACAATCTCGAATTATTAAAAAAAAATTGTAATTATCTTTGTTTATTTTTATTTTCCCTATTTGCTTTTTATTAATTTGATCTGAATACAAACATATAGATTTTAAGAAAGATTTTCTCAATAAATGTAAAATACCAATTATTTTTATTATAAACTGCGTAAATAATTATAAATTATTTAAATTTGTATTTTTGACGTTATAGATAATAATATATACAGAATTAAAATAATAATGTAATTTAATTTCAGATTAAAATAGTAATGTAATATTTATTAATATATATATTTATATTTATTAAAAAAGTATATTTTTAATTTTCAGTAATATTTCCATATATTGTCTTTTATATGTCTTTTTTTATAAATATGAATATTCTATTGATACGCATTAATTTTATATTTTTTTATAAATAATGAATAATTTTATTTTTTCATAAAATTATAGATGACTAATATCAATCCTTTGTATTGTATTGTAGTGTAATGTGTAATGAGTGATAAGCAGACTGCACCTATTTTACCACCCCTTAATGGGGGTGGAGGAAATAATGGGAGTAGCAATGGAGGTGCACCACAACAAACTGTTAATTTACAACAAGTTCTTGCCACTGCCCAAGGACTTAATGTTCTTACTACAGGTGCTGGGCAGCAATTTGTTATTACTTCACAGGTTCCTGGTCTTACACAGGTGCATAATCTAATCTTCGTAATTTCTTAATATGTAATAAATGTTTAAATAATTTTTGTCTTGTATAATTGCAGGTTATAGCAATAATTAAGGTTAAATAGTAAGGTTAAATAATTTTTTTGTCTTTGTATAATTGTAGGTTATACCAAGTAATGCAACAACAAATGCAAACATTCAACAAGTTGGTGTTACAAGGATTGTTAATATTAGTGGTACACCACCACGTGTAAGCACCATGGGAGTTGCAGGTGCAAGTAATTCAGTTTTTACATCTCCTACTCGTCAGAGTTCACCTAAAGTTGTTTTAGCAACATCTCCAAAACTTGTTCGAACTTCTATTGGAAATATGTTTGTTGCACCAACCTCTCAAGCTTCTATGCAATCATCACCTGCAAGAAAGAAGTTAAAGTTAACAGATTCCACTGAAAAACCTACTATGATTACTGATGATGCAATGGGTTATAGAAGAAGAATTATAGAACATAAAATGAAAAGAATGCGTGCAATAAGAGAAAAATATGCTGAGAATGCATCAGAATTGTTCTTTCTTCATATAGGAGGCAACATGATGGATTTTCAGTCATGGAGGAAGAGACCTCCAACATCTCAATATTTGCATTTTTTACGGCAACATAGATTAGATCCAGATGATGATGATGAAGATTTAACAGCCCCACTGCCAGCAATGTCAGAAATTTCATTAATGCCAACTCCAACAACTGTTTCTACAATAGTTCCTGTGAATCAGTGTACAGAAGTAAAAATTTCTGGAATAAATGTTGCTCCAGTTGCAGTGTCTACAACATTGCCTGCTGCAGTAGCTCAACTCAATCAACAAGGTAACCACTTTGTCATTGTAAATATATTTGTAATTGAGTTGATGGTTTAAACTATATCAATGGTAGTCATATAATTTTCTAATAAAACAATACTTTATCCAGCATCAATCATTTTTCTTAGAATACTAGAAGGCACACCATTTTTTCCACAAAAAAAAAAAAAAAAAAAAAAAGAAACGACTTGCTTTAAAAATCCATAAATATTCATAAATCCATAAAAAGAAGGGGTTAAACCTAACCCAAACCTGTATCTTTAGGAATTTATGTAATGGAAATTAAACAATTACGAAATTTTATTAAGGAAAAACGCAAGGTCTAAAAAACGAAAATAATCGAACAATCTTCGTTTCACTTTCAATCATCGCTCAGAAAAGACCACGTCAAGAAATCAACCGAAGCAAATACCTAACAAGACAGTCGCGAACCATTTATCCTCTTTTTTGCCATTAACTCATCAAGAACAAACGTAACATTTCACTTGCGATTGTTCTTACTGTCAGTCAATTTATGTTATCGAATTTAATTCTTCTTCTTTTTCTTTTCCTTTCTTTCTTTAGATTGTGACTGAGAAAAATTAATTCCAAGAATTACTCGCTTCCATATAATTAGCCCGATCATTTCGTAGATATTTAAAATACAAGACAATTGAATATCGTACGAACCTCCTTTCCTACATCTAATAACATTCTACGAAACACATGAAAAATTAATTAACTCTGTTCCATCCGTACGAAAAGTTAATCAACTTGAGCAGACTTTGGCAATAAGTAGAATTTCATAATTGCAATTAGCTACAATTGTACAAGTAGAAGTTGGGAATAATAATAATTAGCTTGGGACAGAGCTTGGGAATGTTTAATTAATTAGCTCTGCAGAACTTCAACTCGAATTTTAAATTTCGATTCTCGAAGTTGGAGGTTAATGAAGAAGAGAAGATTGAGAGAAAAATTATATGGCAAGAGGATATTGAAAATTGTACGAATGAAAGTCTACTCGTTAATGGATTGAATTATTTCTCGCGCCAAATCTCATCCTTTCTCGCTCGATCGCGAAAAAAGAGATCTCTCAAACGAATCGTTCTCTTCGAAAGCAGTGTTCAATGAGCGATAAAACGACGACGAGAGGAAGAAACAAAGACGAAAACGGGAAAAAGAGAGAAGTTGGACTTTGAAAAACGACAGGAAAAACGTACGAAGTGTTGCCGTTTCTTTCATTTACATTGCATAGATATCGTTTTAAAAAAATTAGAATGTGACAGATTAACCTTAACATAATCAGCACACGCGTGGAACGGCCAATTCGAATACTATGAATATTTTTTTCCTCGGATTCTCTGGAGTAAAAGTCAATATTCCTAAATGTCTGTACATCTCTACATCTGTGTATATAGACGAAAATAATAAAAATGTCCATGTATACACATCCGTCTGTAAATTATTTCTGTAAAAGAAAATAAAACGTACAAATATTCGATAAACGGCACTCTTTGCGAACAGTATGTTTCAACTGATTCTAAGTAGAACTAAACAGAATTCCAGAGTTTAGTAGAGACTTAACTCAAAGACACGTCTACTAAAATTAAATAATAATATAATAAATATAATATTAATAATAATAGGTTAGTCAAGAAAGTCAACTACAATTTTTCTTCTTTTTCACACAAAATCTCATCGTGTCGCCTTTTCGTCAAACGAACAGAAAAAAAGGAAACCTCCCTTCAAACGTAGAACGGATCAGCCCTCTTCAAAGCAACCTACAATCCACGAGATGAAGAAGCGAGAAAGAGAGAAACAGAGACGAAGGGGTGGAAAAAAGGGAGTTTGGACGATGAAAAATGCCATGGGTGGCAAAACGACAGGGGGTGGAGGAGGAGGGGCACGTTTCGAGGCCCGAAATTTCGTTTTCCAACCACGATGACAAATGATGATGACGACAGGCTTACGATGGGTTTCTCGTCCCATATGTCCTCCCCCCCCCCCTCTCTCTCTCTCTCTCTCTCTGTTTGTCTTCATCCCTTTCTATCTTGGCTCGTTTGCACGAGCATCGGGCCTCGAGATCGCGCAGCGCCTCTCCCACCCCCATAAAGGTTACCATGGCGACAAGGACACCCCCGTTTAGGCAGAGACGACATGCGCGGCTGAAAGAAGCCCCGGGTTCGATCGCGCCACCCCCCTCGATTTATCTCGATTCTTTTTCCCGCCTCGTTTGCCGCCACGCGATCGACTACCACCGGGGGAAATTGCGCAATACGGAATTAGGAGATAACACGATGACCGGCGCTTTTTTCCTCCTTTCTCGTGGATTTTCTCTCGTTTTTTCTCGATCAGTTTTTGACCAGAAGAATAGATGGCAATCGAGAGGGGATTTTGACGCGTGCGGAAGGCTGTGGGCATGTTTCGTATGACATATTTTATACACGGAATGATGAGAATGTATTTGTTTTTGAACTTCTAAAAGTGCACTGTTTCAACTTTTTTACGTCTGTGAAATTTCTAATAGAAACTATAAATCGGTATTTTTTTTCCTCGACCAGTTTTGGTAGTACCAAACCACTTGCGCTGACAACACATTGCGGACCGTAACGAGTGACCAAACCGTATACGATAATTTGTCATTTTCTTTTTGAACTCGTCGGTACCAGCACTGGATAGAAATTATTGAAAAGTAATATTGTTATTTATTTAATATTAGTATTATTATTATTTATTATTACTTAATATATTATTATTATTTATTTATTTAAAGTAACATTTATTATTTGCTTTGACTATGTTATTCTGGTTATATTTAAAAGATATTTAAAACGGGGAAAATATTGCAATTTTGGGACAAATAACTCTCGACGCGCGTAGCGCAAGAAATTAAACAACCCTACGGGTAGTATAACGACTCCACACAAGGGTAGTTTAGCAATTCCACAAGTCTTTATTTATTTAGAAATTTTGCATGTACTCTACTTTACAGTATGTACTTTGATTAATTACGTGAAATGTGCATGCGTGAAATGTTTCGAATAACGGGAAGGACAGTTCTGAGAGAAATATCAGTCATCGAAAACCGTGTGAAAATAACCGTACGCTTAATTCTTATCAATATCGCGTTCAACAGGTACGTCACTGGATTAATATAAATTCCACACGTCCGCGAGAACAGGTATCATAAACTGCGGCGATAACTGTCTGCGAATTAATGTGCAGACTCGACAAAAGCCTTTTTTTTTTTATTATATTTTTTTAGCCCGTCTTACGCTAACGTTTTACGATTATTCAACGTTTAATTCTTCAGCTGCACGTCGTTCATAAATTTTTATCGATTGATCGTGCACTTTTCATTTGGTCGCGAACCAGAAGCAGCATTTAAAATTTCACCTCGTGTCAGCTGAATTGTTCTTCCTTTCGTTAAACCAAACTCGTGTAATTGTAAATTATTTCCACTGAAAAAAGAAAAAAAAAAGAAACTACTTGCTTTAAAAATCCATAAATATTCATAAATCCATAAAAAGAAGGAATGATTAAATTACTTTAAAGATCCAATAATACACGTGTGTAAAAGTTGCTCTAAGATATCTTCCTTGGTTTTTTCTTAGAAAAAAAAGAAAAAAAAAAAATTATCCGAAACATGGACACTCTAAACTATAATATTTAACCCCGAAATTCTTGCTTCTTTCAACCTATTCCGTCCAAACGTTCTCCCAAATCGATTTCCGCTTCCGTAAGTACGTCTTTCTCCCCTCTTTGGGCAGATCGATTCAGAAGGGTGGTTTGTCCACCCAGTCGGCCGATCGATCACTCGATACACGCTGTTTAGCCGTTATATTTTCATCCCTCGTCGAAGTCTTCGGGGGCGATCGATTTTCGTCGTCATCGGTTGGAAAAGAGAACCACGACGACCGCGGATCGCGGAAGCATGCCTGGCGATTTCATTAATTCCGACGTTCCCCGCGCGAAGATTTACAGCCGCGTGTGCCTGCAGAAAAACCGCTTACGGTCGGAAGCGAATAGGAAAATTCCGCGAAGGAGACGCGGTCAGCCTTCGGAGGGAAACGAAGCGATACAAGGGAAACCAATTAACCGTGGATCGTCTCGAGCGAGCCAGAGAACGCCGGCTATCTAATATATCCGATTCGTTTGTACGTTTGCCAAATTTCCTGGCTTAGAGTGGCTACCACCCCATTTACTCTGGCCAGTCTCGTATCAACGCGAATATTTTCCCGAAAGTCGGACGCTTTTCACTGGATGATTTAGCTTGTCTCGAGGAATCGTTAATAATGATAAATTGATTGGTTTTTTTTTTAAATTCAGAATTTCTCCAACCTGTTTTGCTTGTTTAAATATTTAGTTATTCTGACGACTTTTATACATTGAGGAATTAGTGGTTCGATGCTCGGAACAGATGAAGAATTATTTTACACGTGAGAAGAATTCGAAGGATAATTAAAATCACCAATAATGATGAATTGATCGAATCTTTTAGAAATTCAGATACAACTTCTCCAACTATTTTCGTGTAAATATCAAATACAATCGGATATCAAATATCAATGAGATTGTTATGATTTGGTTCGATGCTCGGAACAGACGAAGAATTATTTTACACGTGAGAAGTATCCAGAAGAATTCGAAGGATAATTAAAATCACCAATAATGATAAACTGATCGAATCTTTTAGAAATTCAGATACAACTTCTCCAACTATTTTTGTGTAAATATCAAATACAATCGGATATCAAATATCAATGAGATTGTTATGATTTGGTTCGATGCTCGGAACAGACGAAGAATTATTTTACACGTGAGAAGTATCCAGAAGAATTCGAAGGATAATTAAAATCACCAATAATGATAAACTGATCGAATCTTTTAGAAATTCAGATACAACTTCTCCAACTATTTTTGTGTAAATATCAAATACAATCGGATATCAAATATCAATGAGATTGTTATGATTTGGTTCGATGCTCGGAACAGACGAAGAATTATTTTACACGTGAGAAGTATCCAGAAGAATTCGAAGGATAATTAAAATCATCAATAATGATGAATTGATCGAATCTTTTAGAAATTCAGATACAACTTCTCCAACTATTTTCGTGTAAATATCA